GATCCCCAACACGTTCCATTACACTCCATTATTGTATTCATTAACATATCCATCAAAAATAAAAAGATTTTGTATGGTTTTATTGTGGTGCAGAAAATTTGATACCCGATTTGTCTACCAAATAAATCTTCCTCATAATGCATTCATGTTCGGGTGCCCCCACTCGTGATATAAGTTCATAATTTTTCAATATGTAATAATATTAGAAAAAGAGTAATAGTTATTCACAAATTACATAATAGTATTAGTAAAGAGGGGAGATGGTCGCCATAAGATATATTAGAAAAGAGTAATAGTTATACAACTTTATTTGTTCATTTATCTATGTATAAAATAAATATAAGATTGTAACATTGTTGTATACAAAAACATAATATGAAAAAATAAAAATTTAATAGAAAATTAAAATAAATCATGTATAGCATACTAGTTGAAATTAAAATATAAACACATATATTTACTATTCATATTACTCGTTCACCAAATTTTCTGTATTCATATTCATATGAACGTGTATTTACGTACTATTCGGACTATACACGAATTTCCGAATATCTTGAAAACATATAAGAACGAGTAATAGATTGGCTAAGAAATTTTCTGGGTAAGTCGCTCTTATATGTTTTCAAGATGTTCGGAAATTGGTGTTTATACACATGTGTGAATATAGGAAAATAAAATAAAATAAATTAATAAATAGATATGACTGAAAAGTAGCCAAAAATTAATAAATCAGCGTAGACAATCGCACTGAACAACACGCCCCACGTTCTTTTTTCTTCCCTTTTTTAGATAGACGCTCTCTCTAGAGTCACCGGAACAATCACACAAACGACGCCATTTTACTCCTTCCTACAAATACTCATGTTGGACCTCAACCTCGGAATCTTGTCGACACACAACGAAGACGAAGATTGCAAAGTACCAACCTCCATCGTCCATCAAGAAGAAGATTCCATTAATCCCTCAAACGACAACTTGTCTTTAATTACATTCGGAATCCTTAAAAGAAAAGAAGAGGTTGAAATCCTTCCTCCTCCTCCTCCTCCTCCGGAGAGTGTGTTATCCGGCGCCGGAAACGAGTGGTTGAATCTGTCGTCGATGCAAAGAAATAAACAAGAAATGTTGGTGATGAAGAAGAAGAGCCGACGTGGTCCAAGATCGAGAAGCTCCCATTATCGTGGCGTCACCTTTTACCGTCGAACTGGCCGTTGGGAATCTCATATTTGGTATTCATTCATTCATAAACTTAAGTTAATTATAAAAGATTTTCTTAATTATTTGTAAGATTAACATTTGGTTTTGGGATGTATGTGTAGGGATTGCGGAAAACAGGTTTATTTGGGTAAGTAGATGCGATTTTCTATTTCTTTCTTATTATATTAAGGTTAAAACCTTCTTGGATAAGAGAAGTCTAAAAAGAGTAAACCAAATGATGAAAGATTTTCACTTTTTCATTTTTGTCTTCTGTTTGGTTAAAAACAGGTGGTTTCGACACAGCCTACACAGCCGCAAGGTGTAAGAAATAGTAACAGATGTTACATGACATAACACTTGTTCTTTTTTTTTGACATTTTAAAAAGAATTTATAGCTTTAGAGAAATATTAGTTGACTTATATATTCAAATACATAATAGAGCGTACGACCGAGCTGCTATCAGATTCCGGGGACTCCAAGCAGATATCAACTTTATCGTGGATGATTACAAACAAGACATTGAAAAGGTTATTTTTCATGTAAACTTATTGTTTCATATATAGCTAAGCTAATTAATTAATTAGGTTTAGATATGTGTATATATAAAGAGACAGAGAAGTTGGACCTTCGATTACTAATATATGGATATTTTGAATGATATGATAGATGAAGAATTTAAGCAAAGAAGAGTTTGTGCAATCTCTTAGACGAGCGAGTGCAAGCTTAGCAAGAGGAGGTTCTAGATACAAAAACACCCATATGAGAAATGATCACATCCATCTCTTCCAAAACAGGTTCGATTACTCTTCTCGCGGGTACAATTTCATTCAATATTAAGAATGTGGAAGATTTATAAACGTGTTTCAATGAATACTCATAGGGGATGGAATGCAGCAGCAGCAAAATGCAATGAGATAAGAAAGATGGAAGGGGATATTAAGTTGGGTCCCCATAATAAAGGTAATTTATAAATGTAGGGTCACGATTATAAATATGCATACTAAATCATGTGTTATGTCATTTAGGTGAAAGCTAAAACCCCTAATTACAACTTCACTTTGACACATGCATGTTGCACATACACCTTTAATTTGATCAACCAAACCCTAGCTAGCTAGCCTTACCTTTCAGAACCATTCTCGTTAGAAATTCAAGGCATATATATTAGTATATAGATCTTATTCAACTCGATATATTTAGTTTAAGATTAGTTATTGTCGACATTATGACATGATTCACAAAAAAACTTGGAATGTTTTCAGGAAATGAGCACAATGATCTCGAGCTAAGTCTTGGAATATCTTCATCGTCAAAAAAAAGAATTTTGGAACCAGCAGATTATTACATGGGTTTGAATCGATCTGTGATGAGTTTGCATGGGAAGCCGTTGCCGGTATATCTACCGATCACAGAAATGAAACCGTTAAAGACAGTTGTAGCATCATCAGGATTCCCTTTCATTGCCATGAACAATTCTTCTTCTTTGACCACTTGTTTTGATCCATGAGGTGATTACTTTTAAATTTTTTCCCTTTTTATTGATCATCTATTGAATGATACGGAAGGATTATGTGACTTATATATCTCTTTTATAAACCATAGTCTTGTGGAATCAGGAATATGTTCGGTTATTTCATTTAGTGACGAAAATAATCTCGAGTTTGACTCATTTAGATGGTCTAAGGGTATATCTTTTATATAGAGTGCGCTTTGGTTCGAGATGAATTGGTACATTTTACACAATAATAAAACTTCCATATTGAAAATTGGAGGCTCCGATTGGTGACAAAAAAAAGAACAATAGGAACATGAAAAAAAAGGAATGAAAAGGAACAAAAAAGAAAGGAAAATTATCAAAACCAGGAACTAAAAGGAACATAAGAATTGAACAAATGATTATGGTAAATGGTAACCAAAAAATTGAACAAATATTTAACATAATAACTATTAAAAATTATGTATTTTATTTAGTTTATAAATTTTATTTAAAATTAATGTTTTATTTTAATTTGAAACAAAATATAGTATAATTCAAATATTTTATTTTAAAATAATATAAATTTCACTTGAAAGCATTTATTTATTTATTTTAGTATAAATACTAATTTAAAACAAAGTCATAAGATTCATTTAAATTAAAGTTTTGATAAATTTTTTTTTATACATAAATATATAATAAAAATATAGGAATTATTTATGTATAAAAATGTAAATATTATCAAAAAGCTATTTTAAAATTATTTAAAAATTAAAAACGAATTTTAAATTTTTGTTCCTTGTTGTTCCTCTACAATTTTGGGGAGGAACAATTTTGTTCTATCATTCTTTTTTTTTGAGGAATGAAGAGGAAAAATGTAGGACCCACATGTCTGAAAATGGAACAAAAATTCCTTATAAATGGTAAAAAAAGAATGAGGAACAAAAAGAACATGACATTCCTACTCATTCTTTTCCTCTAAATTGGTTACCAATCGGAGCCGGAATATGACCTAAAATAATAATAAGCTATAACATTATACGTAAATCATTCTACTTTGATTTTGAGTTAAAAATCCCTTAAAACTTAATAATTAGCATGCAATTTGTTATGAAAATATTTTTGTCCATATTTCTTACCAAGAGGAAAAAGCCAAATGTATACTCGATGTTCTTAGCATTGGACGGTGTTACAATCCTCCAAAATTGTATATACATGTAATTTTGTGCCAATAATTAAACTAAAAGAACCATCATGTATGTTGTCAACGATGATAATTCCCAAGTGTGAAAGTTATAGTGTAAATACCATGAGTACTCGTGAGGCTAGTAGATTAGTCGATAACATAAGACACGTGCATAATTGCAAACAAACAAATTTGCCGAAAATAGAGTAATGGTTAAGAAAAGAAAAGAGAGTCTTGAATGATTAAAGAAAAGGAAATGAATGGGACACGTCGTCGTTTGTAATTAAAGTACAATGTCGTATAATATCCGCTAGCTTCACCACATTCACTTATTTCTTATCCCCATTTTTCCAACTTTTAGACTTTTTTTTTGGGTTTTTTTTTATAAATAAACGAGACATTGTATGGCCCTATGAGTAAAGCGTAGTAGTTGACAAAATTCAATCCTATTGAACAAAACAGAAGATAAAGAGAATTTACTATCTTTACATTGCAAATTTATACCTAAATAACCCAAAACAGGGGAAGAGAAGAAAAAAAGTGTGAAATCTTGTGTTGTTGCCAAGGTAGTGAATATGTTTGTGGTAATGGATTTAACAAATAATTTAACCGATAGTTTGAAATATTGTGTTGTTGCCAATGCTTTGCTTCGATGTGCCACACTCAATCCAAGCAAGCAACTCTGAGCACACCTTTAGCGAGCAAGGGTATTAAGACCTAAAAGACCTTTGATTTGCTTGGGCCTTAGCCGTAGGCCCAAACTCCTCTCGAGTCGTTCATGGAGATCCATCAGGGACACGTGTCCTTAGACTATTTGTCTATTCATAAAAGATTATTTTTCCCAAATAGTATTTATTATCTTTATGTATTTAAACACAATCTTCGTTATGTTTAATAATTTTCTTAGGTTAGGTTAGAAATTTTATGTATTATACTATGGAAATGTTATAGTTTGCATGAGGTTAGTTTGGAAGATAAATCTATATATACATTTTTGGATCATAATTAGCAAATAAATCCTGAAGTTGAGAAGTATTTACAATGGCATGCCATTAGCATTAATTATTTAGATTTGTTTTATTTAAGTAAAGATTTTTAAATGAAATTCATTTCTCATAATGGAAATGTTATAGTTTGCATTAGGTTAGTTTGGAATTAGATAAATGATTAATTAATTGAAGTTATATATAATGTTAATTTTGAGGGTTTCGCGGGATTCATTCGAACTAATTCTTCTGCCGACAAAGAGAAGAAGAAGACGACGACGTTGGTGAACTCCCCACCAAGCTTAGGCCTTTCGTAACCCTATTTCACGTTTGAGATTCCGGTGGAATTCGCTACTAGTATCTGACTGGAGCCTGAGCTGCGTAGGCTTAGAGAATTCATCCGTGTGTGTGAGTTCTCTAACCTTTGCTTGTTCATGGTGGGCTTTGGTTTCTTGGTTTAGAAGAAAATTGTTAGGGCGAGAAGAAAAAAATGAATATAGAATGAATTTCTCTTAAGGGTTTAGGGTTTTGCTGCTCTAGTCTTGGTTTTTGATGGATTGATTTTGTTCTTTATATAGTAGGTGAAAGTTTGAAGCAGTAGCATAGAGAATGGGAGCAGAAGAAGAAGTGGACAATGTTGAGTTAAGCGACAAAGCTTTGGTGTTAGCCATTAGAGAGGTCCTTGCATCTGTCCAATGTGTGAGTCTTGCACAAATGTTGCTTCTTTCACTTTTGTATATACATATATGTTTCTCTGTGTGTTCTTTAAAAGTAGTTTTCTTTTATTAAATCCAGGGAGACACCGATCAATATAATGTACATTAAAAAGAAATCTGATGGCCATGCTGTGGCACAGAAAGAGGTGCCTGAAGATGTCGATGTTGTGGCTCAGCGAGAGGTTTGTCTTTTTCCTCATATGACAATCCAATCTTTTTGTTTGTTTGTTGTTGCTAAGAGACATCTTCATTTCTCATTCGCTTTGCAGACACTCTTGAAAACTCTATCACGCTCTGTTGCTTGCTTAGATGAAGTTCACCATAACCGGCTTCTTGTACTTGTAAGTTTATTTATTTATTTATTACACACAAACCTGACATTCCTCTGACTTTCATCACATTTCTTGTCCTTAGATTCTTGGGACGAGAATTTGGGATCACATACCTAATGTAAATGTAATGTATGCATTGCTGGACCTAATCGTATCACTGGTACACAGCTCAGCAACTATCCCTCATGTCATCATCAACCATATATAATATCTGCTTAAGGAGCTTAATTAACAGTTTGTGTTTTTGTTCTTTACCATCTCTAGGCCACTACTAGTGGAAAGTATCTGATCTCTTGTTTAAATATGCTCGTATCTAATTTACGTTCGCAACCCCGCATACTCAACAATAAGGAGCAGGAAGTTCTTTCCCGGGTGCACGCAGCTCTTCACAAGATTTCGTATTTAGTTCCCCTTGCTCCCTCAATATTACTGCCCATACTCGCCCAGGGAATGCCTAGCGTAGACGACAAAGACCATGTATGTTTTGAATTCTGTCAATAACAATGTAACAACTACCCTATACCCGTGGTTAACAAAATGACAACTATTTTATTGTCTTGCAATTGCAGCTTGTAGTGCCATATGTGGAGAACTTGTTGAAGTTGGAGAACAGCTCAATCATCGGAAAAGTTGTTGGCAACGGGATTCTTAGGGTTGTAATGGAGAGGTTGCGAGATCTCGATGTAAGTGGACGGAATTTGCTTCACGAATAACTGTTTTTCTCGTACAAGTATAGTATAGCCACTTAGTGAAGTGGCAAGTGAAATGATATGCTTGAATGATCATCTTTGTAGTTGAAGATTGGGTGGGATGATATACTCCAAGATGACTCTACCATAGCCATGTTTGATATGGAACTTGACCTTGCAGTTGAAGGCACTACCAATGAAGGAGAGGAGGTAGGGTTAGTGTGTTTATCTGCTGTTTATGCTGGATCCATAAACTTGGTTGAAAGTTTCAGGATTACAAAATGTTTTTTTCTCTTATATACTATGAAAATTTGGAGAGCTATCTGCCATCATTCATAACATTTGATTTTCCTTTTGCAGTTTTCAGTTCGGTCTCTAAATCAAAATGGAAATGTAGTCTCTAAATCGTTGGACGATTTGATGGTCCTATCTTTTCATCATCTTGAATTCTGCCAAGATGCTGGTCGTCTGGATGAGGTATGTCCCCAAATTGTGCTTCATCAACATATCAATCGTTTCATTACCTTTGTGGTAGATGCGTTCATCTTTTGGGGGTTCTGTTTTTCATGGTTTTGGCGCAGGTGTTTGAAAATCTGTTCGTGTCGTTTGAGAACTTAATTCTGAACACGCAAAAAACAAAAATTTCACAGGTATGCACCGTATCTATCACAGTACAGACTATATAATTCGTCATTCTAGGCTCCTAACACTTTACTTCATTGTTGGCATGAGATGTCTTGGCTTAGACTCATTTTGCTTTCCTCTGCAGTTCCTGATGTTCTATGCGTGCTCACTAGATCCTAAAAGTTGTGGTGTGAAATTTGCCAGTAAGCTGTTGGACATATTTCTCTCCAGCAACAAACATCAAGTTACTAGGTCAGTATCATCTTATCCTTCACGGTAAAAATTTCTCTGCAAGCTAATACTGTTCTCTAGTCACCAGACTCACCACTTGTACATGGTTTAGGTTTCTCCCCTTACTAAACAGGACGAATGCAGTGGCTTATCTAGCTAGCTACTTGGCTCGTGCAAAGTTTTTGCCTACTTCTTTTGTGGCTAGCATGTTGAAAAGGTAGAAAGAGACTGCTAAAAAACTGCTAAAAGATGATTGTTTCGATCTGATTCAAGTTCCAGTTTGTTGTAACATTGTTTCTCTCGTGTCCGAAATCCTAGATTGGTGGATGAGTGTGCGGATTACTGCAGAACATGCAATGATGATGTTAGGCCTGAAGAACATCAAGATTTTTATTCAGGATGTCAGGTATAGTCCATGTTTAGAACCATCTTATTGCTTTTAATCATTAGGAATTTTTTGTGATATCATCGACGTCTCTAGTCTCTACTTATCAATCATCTCTACCCTTATAAGTCTCAAAGAGTTTTATTTGCCTATCAGCGGCTGGAGTGATACACAATTATGTCAAGTAGTGACTTAACTTTGTTACTTTTCTGTGACTGTAGGCAATCTTGTATGTGCTATGCTTCCGAATGAGATCAATCCTAGCTGTTCCTCGCTTCCTATCGCAGCTTACACCATTGGAGTCGGTTTTTATCTCACAAACTAGACCCGTTGAAGGTAACTTATACTATCACACATACAATAGCTCTGAACCAAAGTATCAAATGCATTAAGCTTGCACCAACTTTTTTTTTGTGTGTGAACAGGTGTGCCTTCCATCTGTAGTTTCTGAGTTCCTTAAACAAGCCAAAGCTGGTGGTATGATCATTGTCTCGGAAGCCTTCATTTTTGATGACCTACCCGAGTCTGAGCTCTCTCGTGCTTTTGGTGGATTCTTCCCGTCGACCCATGCTTGTTAGAAAGCTCTAACAGGTTCACTATCTTAACTCTCTCTCTTATTTTCTCTATTACTTCTATTACGAAGCAACATGAGAAACTTATAGAAGCTTCTTTGACTCATTTGATGATTTACCCTGATTTCAGCTTTAATGAAAATTCTAGTGCATGTCTTGAAATGAGATTGAAATCATTACATAACTTTTACTCTATTCCTCACCCGTTTGCTTGTAAATCTTGAAGTGTTATCTCTCGGAACTTCATCTACTGGTCAGAGGTGAAAAAGAAGACTTATGATGAGGATGAGTTTTTGCCGGAAGTCATAGTGTATGGAGATACAGAGAGTGAGGAGGATTGTGATGATGATGATGTTGTTCTTGATAACGAGGTGAACAAGATGTCTACAACTCCTACACACACCTTCATGCGCAAAACAGAGAGACTCTTGAAGATGCCTTCGAGGATCAGTCCATCAACTAGTTCTCGTGAATCTCTCTGATTCTAGTGGAGAGGAGGCAATTTTGCAAGCTACGGTTCCTAATACAATCTTTTTGCAAGCCTTTAAAATCTAAAAATACGTTTCTTTATTGGACTTGGTTTTGTATGCAAGTTTTGATAAATTTTGGCATCAGTCGAAGTTAGAAATCGATCATAGACTGCAATTAAAATAGGTTATGGCATTGTATATGCGAAATGGATATTTACAACAGCTAATACCCATCTAAGCCCATAGTTTACCTCTGGTTTAGTCATTTGAATTAGTGGAAGACATACTTGAGAGATGTCCAGTTCAAGATCTAGTCCGATTCAGTACAACAAACAAGGAATGTCACGCAAACATCTACAAGCGCTTGCGGCCTATGGCACTGGAATCATTCATAAGAACAGAGAGCAATCAGATCATGAAAACGACGTTCGGAGTCCTGCGGGAGTTACACCAATTCCAGAGGACAACATCCTGCTCCCATAACAGGATTTAACTGAAAAGAGTTATGACAGTCTCCTTTTGTATGCCTTCTAAAGATCATAAGGCTTGAGAAACATTTATTTTTTAGTAGCTCGATCTCATCTCAGGAGAAGCCAAGCTACTAATCTTGGCTGCAGCAGGAGGTTTCTCAACTCTTCCACTCACGAGTAAATTGAATATAGTATCATCATGTACAAGACCTTTCTCAAGCATCTCATCATGAACTCTAAAAGCCTCATTGAGATTTCCTTCTCTATGATGTCCTGCGATAACAGTACTGTATATAAGCACATTTGGAGTCGCATCTTTCTTCTTCATCTCCTCTAACATCTTGCTTGCTCTCACAAACTGTCCCTTCTTACTAAGACCGTTGACAAGTACCACGTACAGAATTTCATCAGGGACAATACCCAAAGCAAGCAACTCCGAGTACAAATCAGAGGCAAGAATTAGATTTCCGTCTTTTAACAACCCATCGATCATCGTTGTATATGTAAACAGATCACAACTTATCCCGTCATTCACCATTTTCTTGTACAAGTCAATTGCTGCATCCATCTTTCCCAGATTACGGAATCCTGAAATCAAATTATTGTAGACAGACACATTTGGCATCAATCCTAGTTCCAGCAGTTCAGAGAACAGAGTATATGCGGTTTTCATGTCATTCTTTTTACAGAACCCGTCTATTAGTGCACCGTAGGCTGGAACATCAAGTTTCAAATCCTTGCTTTTCATTTCGTGTATCATTTCAAGAGCTAGATCCATTCTGTTACTTTTGCAGAATCCATTGATCAAGCTGGTGAAGGTTACAACATTTGGGGATATACCGTTTTCACTCATCTCTCTGTAAGCTTCTACAGCAGAATCGGTGTCACCTTCTTTGAAAAATCCATCTATAATGCTATTGTAACTCGTGCAACCCATGGAATAGCGCTTTTCTTTGATCAAATTTTGCAACATCTCTTTGGCTTTAGATGTCTGACCAACTTTGCACAAACCATTGATGATCGTATTATATATGACTTCATTAGCTTCGAAATTGGAAGCAATCATCTGATTGATGACTTCCCAAGCATTCTGTTCATCTTGATTCTTGAAAAATCCATCAATCAAGATGGAATAAGTGAAGTTATTCGGTTGTAGACCCTTTTCCAGCATTTCCGAAAATATTGAACGAGCCAAGTCCATGTTTTTCATTCTGCAATGAGCAAGCATCATGTTATTGTAAAAAACTACATTCGGCTCAATCCCTTTGTTTTCCATCATCCTCAAAAAGCTTGTCGCAGCATCGACCTTACCTTGCTTGCATAACAATAAGAAAATCTTGTTACACATGAAACCGTGCGCAATCCAGGTTTCAAAACTGTCGTTAAAGATTTCTAGTGCCGCTTCTGGTGATTCAGCTTTCAAACATCCTTGGATCATTTTGTGGACAAGAACAGATGAAGGAGCAATCCCTACAGATTTCATCCGCTTGTAAATCTCAACAGCTTTCTCCATCTCCATATTCTTACAAAACCATTCGATCATAACCGAAAACATAACTTTGTCCGGAGCCAGCCCTTCCTCCTCCATTCTATTAAAGAAATCCAAAGCCTTACCCAACTCATTCCCATTGCAAAATCCAGTAATCAAACTCGTTGCAGCAATAACACTCATCGGTATCCCAAAACCAACCATCTCATCCTTAACCTTCACCGCCTCCTCCATATTACCTTCCTTCACACAAGCCACAATCACACTAGTATACGTTTCCTGCGAGGCCGGGACACCTCCCTTCTCCCTCATTTCTCTCAACAAATCCAAAGCCATAACCAAATCCTTCATCTTACAAGCAGCTTGAACAGCAAGACTAAACAACAAACCATCTGGTTCTGCTCCTCTACTCATAACTCTTCTGAAAATTTTCATAGCCTCTTCGGGCTTTCGCTCTCTCAAACTAGCTCGCATCAACAACTGCGTCGTAACATTATCACCAGCAACACCAATCAAAACCATCTTATTATAAATCTCCTTAGCTTCATCTATCAAATTACTTCGAACTAAAGAGCTTAAAACATTGTTCACATATGGAACAAAAGGAACCACATTTCGATCCACCATCAAATTAAAGCAATCTACAGCATAATCCATTCGCCTATTTCGAATATAAGCATTCAACAAGTAATTGAAAGCTCGTGAGCTAAGTTCAAAATCAAACCTTTTAGACGAATCAACCAAATTGTTAACCATTGCGCTTGGAATTAGCGTTGGATTGCTTGAAACGAACATTACGAGCAAATTGCTGGCACGATCGTGCGTGTGAGGAGAGCTAAAGAGAATATGAATGAGTACCCAGAAGACATCTCCACCTTCACAGAGACTACGTAAAGGCTTGACCCAATTGCAGTATTGAAGAGCTGAGACTGGGTCGTTTCTACGACCTAGAAGCACTTCGATTACATGAGCGTCGTCCACATGATTGTCAGTCTCAGAGGTTGAAATTAAAGGTGAATGATTTGGTCCAGAGGCTTTATGAGGAAATTCTAGTTCTGAGAAGACTTCAGTGGTAGAATCGGAAATGTCTCGACTTTGATTATCCGGTGGATGGAGAAATCGATACTGTGAAGAAATGGGTTTAGGGTTTATCAAACGATGGAGAAAAAGAGGTGGACGGAATCGTTTGGAAGCCACGAAAGTACTCATTTTTTTCTCAGCTTGTAGAAAAGAGGATCGGAGAAGAAGAAGAAGAAGAAGAAGAAGAAGACGAAAGTCTCTCTAAACCCTTCCTTTAACGTCGTCGTTTGGTGTCCAGCCTTAAACCCTGTATAATAGTCTCGGCACCAAAACTGTGTCGTTTTCGTTTATTTTTGTTTTCCTTCTTGATGCCACTTTTTTTTTTTTTTTTTTAAGTTGTTGGACAAATTCTTTTCAATGCATTCTCAATTTCTCATGTAGTATAACTGTAACAAGTACAGTTAACAAAATAAATTTATTCCCACAGTTACTATTATTAAATGTGTTTTTTTTTGTAACAGTATAATAGCATAAATGACTAATACCTAATATAAATTGACAGAACACTAGAACAGTATAAATCCTAAAAATGAATAATGTTTTCGTTTTCTGCTTTTTTTTTTTTTTGAGTTCTTTCAATTTGTGCCGACATATATTTTGATGTTATAAATATTTTTTAAAAAAAATTAAAATTTCAATTGATATGCATACGATTCTGTTAACGCAAGTAAAAAAGGCCTCTTTTTGACTTTTTTTTTTTATAGTCATCCATTCCTAGTCAAGTGGTATTACACCAAAATTTAACTCCCACTAACGAAGATGATAAATCAAAGACCAAATCATGGGAAAAGCCAAGAAAAACATAAAAAGGTGAAAAAAATAGTATTTCATTCATACTTTAAATTGGATATTACATGAGTACCGTGAAAGATAAATCGGTCAATGGCCAAAAGCTTTATGGATAATAGTGGTATTCATGTCTTAATACTGGTGTTGGCGTTTTATGGTTCCATCATTTTTTTTTCTTATCTCTCCACCAGGGTATGTTACTTCTTTTCGGTTTCAGAGTTGTCGATTCTGGTCGGGATCGGTTTACTTTTACCTAAGAGTCATAATAATACCCAACTTGACTCTTGGTCTTGTTATATCAATGCAGAATTTTTTTTTATTTTTTGTTTTTAAAAAACTCATATATTAATTAAGTTGAGCTACCCAATAGGCTAAAGCAATAGACTTACAAAAAAAATCAGTTACAAACATGAGAATTCAGAGACCAGACCCAACAAGGTAAATAGATCTTGCTCTGTTGAAAGACCTAAAGCAGAAACTGAACATCAAACTGGCGAAAGCAAGTCCGACAACTTTGTGGCGGTTCCCCTGAAATCGGAAAACGAGAATTGGAAGCTTTCGGACTCCAATCCCGTCTCCAATCAGGCGACCCACACGATCCATCATAGAACTTCTGAATGCTCAAGTCCCCGACTGAAGGCTCTACGATGTCGTATCCCATACCAAGCAATCACGACATACTCAGACCTCACCCCATCTTCCTTGTCAGTCGACTTCTTAATCCTCCGACTAGGGTTTCCTTTGTTCTGATCTGTGGAAGCCAAACGTGATGATTTGAGAAGCTGGAAGCTCAATCCAACGAACAAAAATCATTGCCCCACGCAAGCCAACAGAAATCCAGAAGGATTCATGTAAAATTATATAATCCATGTAAAAAGTTTGCCAAAAAAAAATGTTTAGGTGTTATTAAAAAAACGTTTAGATAGAAAAGATTTGATAATCTAGTGATTTTAGTTCCTCCTTGATCCACATGATCCGCTTAATAGTTTGATACGTATTGTTTGATTCATTTTTCCATTCAAAGCCCGTAATAGGTGATTAAATGGTGGTATAGTTACCACTAAACGAGAAGCCAACAAAAAACAGATGCTGATGTAGAGTTGGCAAACAAACATAGATAAATAATGGTTATAAAAGAAAAGCAGAGAGAAGAAGAATAAGGCCAATAATATAAAGTGGGGATGCGAATAAATATTTGTATATTTGTCTTCTTGTGTTCCCCCTTCTTCTCCATATCAATTTAAAAATAAGTAAATGTCGTTAAAACAAGTAACGATTAACATAAAATTAGATATCTGTAATTTTGTGTCTAGAAAACAAGTTATGATTTGGATTATCCTTTACTCGTTTTACATTTTTAAGATATTATGGCTTATCCGTTTTTCGTTTTCTTTTTTAATTACTTAGATAGTTATTTTTTTTTACTATTTTATACTAATCTAACAAAATAAAAGTTATACTAGCTACATGCAGAGACGACTAAACAAAAGAAATCCGCAAAATACTCACAAATAATCCACTAACGCCGCCAATGTTGTGCTACAAAAGTTTAAGAAAGTGATTCCAAGATTAGGTAAATCACGAGTACCCCCTTCCTTATCTCATACCACGATCCCATTCGATATATAATCTCACGTAATGGAATGGGACAAATAACAAGCAAGTAGACAATTTGTTAACGTGTATATGAAATCTCGAAATAGCCGTTTTGAACAAGTTAAATACGGATAGACAAAATTTCTTACTCAACTAAGTTAAGTAACAAACCCAAAATCACGGGCAAAGTAAACCACAGTCTTATATTATGCTTAAAATAAAGAAGATCCCATATTTGTTTGGCAAAAAGATCATAAATGTAGTCGAAGGGCTCCACGCGCAGCGACAAAAACGGAACAAAAAAGAAGAAAAAAAATCAAAAGATTCAAAAACCTTTCTTCTTCTTTTATAACATCAACTATTCATATTTGTGTAAGACAAAAAAAAAAAAAAAGAAGCGAAGATTACGGGACCAACAGTGACGTGGACCTCTCCCCCGTCGGTGCCCATACCACCAACTTTATTACTCCACTGGTCACTTGCTTGTTCGAACCAAATCCAATTATTCGTAACTATGTTTCAGATTGTTGGCTAACTGATGATCAAATCTACAATAATATACTTAACGTTTACTATATTGTTTGGAAGATAGTATAACAATTCATCGGTTACTGATGCTTGTTGCAAAAAAAAACAAAAAGAGGGAAAAAAATGATTAAACGCTTGCATCTGTTTGATTTGGACTCTCACAGATTCCTCTATATAGTCAACTATAATCAACACACGTGAATCATTTCGTCATTTGATTATTGTTGAGACAAGAGTCAATTACCACCAAACATATTATTTTTAATCATTAAAGTTCCGAAAACTCCGGGTGATGGCCGCAAATTTAAGTTTTGGTTTGATATTGTATGTGGTATGATGGTTTGAGTTAACATTATTATTGTATCATCATCCGAATTTAGACCTACATAATAAATGCAATATGTTATATATAAGAAATTCCAACGACCACAATATAGAAAAAGAGCAGCAATTTTATTTATATCTCATTGGCTTTCATAAATGTTACTTAAGTAAGACACTAGACGTTGGCAAGGACTGAATGACTTAATTGATATGTTTTCATGCAACCATATTTCGTTTTTCATTTACTTTATCATTTTACCATATTAATCTTGAAGTAGAGGAATAATGTTGTGCACAACCAAGTCTGGATCCCAGCTACCACTATCTTCAAGCTCATCGATAGAAAGATACGCAATGAAATCATCGCAACACAAGCGATACCGCAACCTCATGCAGCTCTGGTTAACATGAATTCACACTATGTGACTTCCAAATCTTTTGTCTCCTTGTTTTTATTTTGCCAAGGATTTAAACCTATAGATTCTTACTCTATAAAAAGCCAAACTTTTCATTTTTAAATGATATTAACATCCATAACAAAAGAAAATCTCAATCCAAGCCTAAAATCACAACCCAACCCCGAAGATTATAAACGGCCTTGAAAATCACATAACAACCTTAAAGGCTATAATTGTCACCAAATATTATTACATACCGACTCTGAAAATAACATAACTTATATATACTAAAATTATGTCAATTCAGATGTAAGATTGTATCAAATATTTTGAAAGTACTAGTTACTAAATGAAAAGTTTAGAAATGTATCGGGGACTTAAGTTTTCGAAAGAGAGAGAGTGTTTAACTAATCGCCTCAAATTGTTTTATGAATTTTTAATTTTTAAGAGGTGCATTTGTTCCGTTCATGTGGCTATGGGAGAGTCTCAATACATACATGATACATACATTATTGGTCTCTTAATTTATTCTGGGAAAATAGAAACTATAGAAATGCATTCTTCTAATCAATCATATATAATCCATAGAAATACAAAAAAGATATGTATTATTACTCTTTTATTTATATGTAACAACCACATTATCCCACCTTAACACATGATTAAGAAATGACTTTTGAGCAAAATACATTTCAAAATTATCAAATTCCTTGGAATATTTGGCAGTTCCATAAAACATTTTCCTCTAATTATTGTCAGAAACTTAAAAGATTTGTAACTGCTGGTCCCGTACTATTTATTGCTTCATTCCTTATTACTAAGCAACAAAAGTCACGCGTGAGATAAAAAGACACTATAAAAGAAGATCCTTTGCAGTTCTCTGTTCTTGCTCCTTCTTCTTCATCTCTCTTTATTGATACTGTCCGAATAATAATAAAAATTCACTCTTTTTGTCTTCTCAAGACCGATTTAAATACAAATCATTCTCCTTTTCCTCTTGAATTTTTTTCCTTTTTGAAAATTTCGAGTGATTTAAGGAGGGAAAATAAAGAGAGAAGAAACAAGAACAAAAGCATCGTTTGCGAATAAGACTTCTCCTACTCTCTTTTTGTTTCTCGTGTTCTTATGACAGATTATAAATAAGATTAGGTTTTTGTCTTGTCTTGGCGATAATGCCTAGAGAAGGGTTTAAAGATTTGATTTAAATACTCTTTTTTTGGTTTTTGTTGTTTGGGTTACGATGCAAAGAGTACACAACAAAGCGATTGATTCTATCGGAGCTTTTAAGCATTTAATCAAACAGAGTAACGGCGGTGACGGTGGAGTGACGGTGGCGGATATGCAAGAACCAAGCATAGAGACGGATAAGCTTAGCTACGAGATATTCTCGATTCTTGAAAGCAAGTTTCTTTTCGGGTATGATGATGACCCGAAGCTTATGGAATCAAGGAGCAGAGACCCGAGTCCGGAGCAAGAAACAGCATCACCGGCGATGGTGGATTGTTTAAACGGCGTCGTTCCGGGTTCAATTAAGAACCAGAGAGGTAAAGTTTGTGTTTTGAGTATCGATAGTGGTGGAATGAGAGGGATTATACCTGGAAAAGCTTTGGCGTATTTAGAACATGCTCTGAAATCAAAATCGGGTGACCCGAATGCCCGAATCGCTGATTACTTCGACGTAGCTTCCGGTTCCGGTATCGGTGGGATTTTCACGGCGATGCTTTTCGCGTCGAGTGATGGTAACCGTCCGATCTTCAAAGCGGAGGACACGTGGCGGTTTTTAGCTAAGAAAGGTAAAAGCTTTTACAACAAATCACCACCGGGGATACTAAACCGGGTTATGAAAACCGGGTCTGGTGGTTCGGGTGGGTCGGGTTCGAAGCTTGAGAAAGCGATGAAGGAGTCGTTTGAGGAGCTTACGCTTAAGGATACGCTTAAACCGGTTTTGATCCCTTGTTACGACCTTACGAGCTCTGCACCGTTCTTGTTCTCACGTGCTGATGCGTTGGAAACGGACGGTTATGATTTTAAGCTGTGGGAGGTTTGTAGAGCTACGTGGGCTGAGCCAGGAGTGTTTGAGCCGGTGGAGATGAGATCAGTTGATGGTAAGACGCGGTGTGTGGCGGTTGATGGTGGTTTAGCTATGAGTAATCCTACGGCTGCAGCGATTACTCATGTGTTGCATAATAAGCAAGAGTTTCCGTTTGTTAGAGGTGTTGAGGATTTGCTTGTGTTGTCACTTGGTACGGGACAGTTGGTTGATGTTAAGTATGATTGTGATAAGGTTCTGAAGTGGAAGGCTAAGCATTGGGCTCGGCCTGCGGTTCGGATTTCTGCTGATGGAGCGGCTGATACTGTGGATCAGGCTGTTTCCATGGCGTTTGGTCAGTGTAGGAGGAGTAACTACGTCCGTATTCAGGTAAATGCTTATGTGGTTTATTAGTTCATCATTATGTCATTCCGTGGTTTTGTATGTTTTAAGCTGCAGAATCGCGGAATGGTAGACTAGTTATGTGAAGCTGAATCTTGATATTGATACCAGAACTTTTGTTTGGGTGGTTTTATAGGCGAATGGATCAAGCTTTGGTCCGTGCAAACCAAACATAGACACAGATGCGAGTCCAAGTAATGTGAATATGCTTGTGGGAGTAGCAGAGGAGATGCTGAGGCAAAAGAACGCAGAGTCTGTTCTGTTTGGTGGTAAAAAAATCAATGAAGAAAGCAATTATGAGAAGCTGGATTGGTTAGCAGGTGAACTCGTGCTCGAACACCAGAGGAGGAGTTGCAGAATCGCTCCCACAGTAGCGTTCAAGCAATCCGGCGACAGAAGAGTCGATCAACAGACCATTTTCAAGGATATTGATTGTATGTTTTGAAGATTTTTATATTGTATAGATTTGTGTTTAAGTTCGGAGAAGAAAGCAAACATTATCTTCGAAATAGGCTTTTATTAATCTTAAAGATATGTGTTATTTTGGTTTTACTAATTTGTTATTTTCCATTGACTCAAAAAGAGCTTCGTTAACAAAACTTTGGAATGCATATATGATAATCAGCTGAGAGCGTCAAGGCTAATCAACAAAATCAAATTTAGCCTAATTACCTTAGCTCATAAAGATTTACATATCTCTTAAACAAGAAGATAGTTGCCAACTTACTTTTTAGAACCTCTTAAGTCTCTGTTGGTTGGTTACAGAGTCACTGATTTTGCAAAACATCATGATGCATTTCAAAATTGTAATACATTAATGAATTAATTTGTTGATACCAGTTTTTCATATTCAAAAGCATATTCTTTATTTGGAATTTTCTAAAAAGGAAAAGATGTGTAATGAGACCAAATCTCTTTATGTAATGATTTGATTTAACGTAAGTTCAAAGATGTGAACTTGGGACCGTAATGAATAGAACGTATCAAGAAGGCTGTTATGAAATCATATTCATTGGCGCTCCAATAAAAGTCACTTTCTTGATTCTAAATATATATTTTTCAACAACATTTATTATACAATTTGATTTCGGGTAGTGGTACACAACCATATTATTATCATAATCAGCTCATATGTTTTAATCTTATAATAATTATTTTATGGTTACAAATTAGAAGAGTTGGAAGGCCAACAAAAAAAAATTGTATAGTCGTCGTCCTTGTGCGTGTGCATGGAGAAATTCTCAGTGTAAAATTGTAGAGTTAGCAGAATTTTACAGCTATAATTTAGAGTAAACAAAAGACCGTAGATTGTAGACTCAAAGTTTTGGAATCGATGGTTTAATTCGTCTGTCGTTAATAGTAAATCACTCAAAATACTAGATTTTTCTATGAGTGAAAGATGTTGTAACAGGTAAAGAAAAAGAAAACTAGCTACGTGCTTTGTTGACAAAATGGGTATACTTATCCATATTGTCAATTATGATTCCACAAACGTCAGATGATTTAAAGAAAAAGATGTATGTGAATCTTTCAACAAATCTATTAAATCCTCTCACAGTTGAATTTTATATGGGTCTATCTGAAAGTAAGTGGGAAACTAAATGGTATGTACAAGACAAGATAAAAGGAAAGAAACACCATAACTTTAGTAGAGTTTTGGATCATGTTTTTTTTAATATTCACAATATACAATAGGTGTGGATGTTAATGAGGTAGAATTCTTTGGACACATGATACCTAATTCCCAAACACAAAGCTGAACCAACATCATGCAATAATACACAACGTACGTACATGGGTTAATTTATTGACTCTTTGTTGATTTTGAGTTGGAAAGCTCATAAAAATTGACATTGTATCAAAACTCATATCGTTGACTCAAGTAAGATATGTTGCCAATCTTTGGAAAAGATTCGCTTCGAGGCAGAAAGAACCATCATTTGGAGAAGTTGTTTTAGGAAGTACATATCGAAAATAAAAAGAGATTTCTAATATGCATGACCGGTTATGAAATTTTGGAGGCCTAAAATTTTTTTAAAAGTTTTATAGTAGTTTCTAAAGTTAGGGGTCTATTTACAAAAGAAAAAAAATAAAATTAGAGAACTATTTTGTAAATAAAATATATCTAGAATTATGGGAGTCAAAAACAATTGACTCACCTGGCGATGCTCAATTGCCCTGCTAATATATAAAAGATATGAGATAATCGATTCACTCTAAATTGGTTTGGAGTTGGAAAATCCATGAGCTTTCACAAACATTTCTTGAAAATACATGTGACAACCAAAGATGCATATGATTAATGTTGCAAATTAGATAAGTAAGCATAAAAAAACGTCAAATAATTAAACAATTTGTATACAAAAATTATATGGAAATGTTAGGAATAGAATTGTTTACCGACCCTAAGGATGATAGGGTGCAGTGGCTGAAGGATTGAGGATGAATGAGTTATCTAATGAAGCAAAAAAAAAATCACAGAACCAAAAAACATCAATACATTTAGCTTAAAGGTCACCAATGTCAATCTGTTATGGGAAATGTTTGCGTGTGCTCGTATCCGAACGACTATATGATAATGTGAAGCCCACACGGCTATGAATTTACTGCATACACGATGTTCTGAAATTTCGTAGTTGGTCCATATTCTAAAGAGTTGAGAACAGTTTGATCCAGCTTAAAACTATATGTGAATATGTGATATAGAGCTTAAAAATATGTTTGGTCTATAACCACATGTAAAAACCACTACTATCAATAGAGAACCCAAGATTACCAATTCTGCTGCTAATCCAAGACTAATACAAACTATCACGAAAACTGCTTGGATATAAATGCGAAAACCAAAACTGTAAATAATGAATAATGCAACATACTGAATATACAATCTATGCAAAAGCATCAAGAAAACATTGCAAAGACGAAAGAGAATCTACTAATGCTTAGCTTTATATGCAAAATGGACAAAAAAAAATGTAGGAACAAAAATTGATCTACCCTAAGGATGATAGGGTGTAAATGCAACGACTAAAGGATCGATGGAGAATGAATTTTCTATGAAGCAACAAAAAACATAACCTAAAAAAAGTCAATACATCCAGGTTCAAAAGTCAACATATTCATGTGTTGTTCAAGGGAGAGGCCTCAAATGTACCTCATATAGTTCATATATAAATCTCTGATTATCATTTTCTGTCGTCATATTTAAGCCTTTATTATAGAACTTTCATATTGTACGTCTTCAATTTTTATATGTGGTATACGAACGAAAGACAATTAATTATCGATAGAGAAATAAGGTTATCGAATACGTATACATTGATCCGAGCCCGTAGGCCCTGACCATTTAAGAAAAAAAATACAATACATTGGACCGACTATTCAACGAAAGCAAATTAAATGTATTATACTCAAAATCGCGATCAAGTAAGAATAAGTGATCAGACCAATCAGTTAGTATTTGTCCAAAAAAAAAAAACCAATCAGTTAGTAATTCATTCATATGACATCAGATGTAGTCATGGAGAAGATGTTATGTTCCTGCCTTTTTGCTGACTAATTATACTTAGTATTATTTAAGGGAGAAGATGTAGTATTTTTTAAGGGATTAAGTCCTTCAATCTTAGTTGTTTAAATCGTGATGGTATAATATTATATAATTAACGAGTTTCGTGTTTGATAAAAATAGAAATAAAGACTAAGTCTATCATTAATTTTTAATGTGATGTGATTAGTCTAGTTCGACCGGTACGTCCATAATTCGAAAAGGATCTTATTCGAGTTAGTTGGTGTATCATTTTTTCAACTTTGACATATATATCTTCAATTTATTTCTTTTGATTTTAATCAAAAATAATTAATGAAATACATTGTTATAGAGGTTAGACAATTAAGATAAAATTAAAAGTACTTGAAATGTATATAAAAAAGCCTTACTAAATTTTCTGAAAACCATATATTAAATTTATCAATCCAGTTATTTACTTGATGTTTTACCAGTTAAAAAACCATTTGAACTTCTATTGCATTTTGAAAATATTTTGTTTTCTTTTGACTTTTCAGGTATTTGAGTGAATGAATAATGTAACAAGTGGTTTCAAAAAAAAAAAAAGGGATGATATTTCGGGTAAATTTAACCTATTGGATTCGAATAATCAAGATTTCGAAACTGCGTCAGACTATGAATAAAAATATTTAGTTGGATTTAAACACTAAATTTTAAAGCTATATCTAATCAAAAATATAAGCTCATTCGAAAACAAACTGTAAAAACTAATCCATAGAAGATTATGTTGTACATAAATAACATAAGTAACAATTTTTCTAAACCAAAGCCCCAAAACCTCCAAAATCCAAACTGAACTTCATGTTGACCGTTCAGAAAGAATTGATATTATGGGCAGAGTGAATGAATAATGTAACTTTTCGACATTTTTTTTTGTTTTTTTTTTGTCGTCATGACTTTTGTTAACCTCCTTATTAAGATTAAATGCACCTAAATATAATGAATGAATAAGGAGGAAAGAAATGTCTTAACATACTAATTTTGTGTTTGTCCAAAAAAAAATCATGCTTATTCTGTGATTCTTTTTTTTGTCGCTTTAATTTATTCTTTCGTCGAAAAAGATAAACGTACTCTTTCATTCTATATGACTATATACATAGAGCATTGCATAGAAAAACTGTTCATGAAAAGTCAAAATAAGATGTTGAAAAAAGAGAGTCAAATTAAGAGAAACGTAATATCTGAAAATCTTTTTGATGATTCATTTCACACGTTGATCAAGTTGTGGACAACAACTAACGCCGATATCAATTCTCAACTACTATAGATTTTAATTTTGAGACAATGTTATTATCATAGAAAAGTATTACTTCGTATAGAATTTGACTGTTTATTGGCGTTTTTTTTTTTTGAAACTTGAAAAATTATAAGTTAAATAATACTTTTATATTTAGAGAGATTTTTTTTTTGTTTCTATCAAAAATTATATGCAAAACTATATACGTAAACTAAAAATATATATATATACTGTTTTTTTTTTGTGTGTTTGTAACAAAAAATGGATATGTTATTAAGAAAATCAAAACTATTATGTTTTTTTTTTTTGAAAAAAAAAAATTATTATGTTTTTAGATGTAGGACCCTATTTAAACGTACTAGAGATTGGAAAACAAAAAAAAATCGAATGTTACATTATTTCTTAAAAAATAGTGTCCTCGAAAACTCATTTTCAATAACTTAATTTGCATTCAATGTGATTCGAACTTCTACACCTAATTTTTTGTTGCCTATGCCTTTTCTGTTAACGATCACTTTACTTCAATTTACTATGTTTATTGATACAAAGGCACACTCTAATTTTGCAATATGAATGTTAGTCCAAAATAATTGAACACTTGCCAATTATAGGTACATTTATTATATTAAATTTTCATACATAATTCAAATGTGTATGTTAATACTGAAACCCACTCATCAATCGGTGTTCACATCTGTCTTTTACACCTAGATATTCTATAGAACATTATTGATCATGTAACTGCATTTGTAGGTGACATCTTTCTCATATTGTATAGATACAGCGAATCAGACGTCATTATTCTTATAGCTTTAATCCATGTTAAAAAAATCGTTAGACGCTAGTTGGATAGTGAAAATGTTTTAAAACTATTTAATGTTTTAAATAGTGAGAATGTTAAGGTTCGGATAATCCATGGGTATTAACCCATTTTGACACCCCTACCCATTCACACTACGGATTCCTTCTAAGTTCTACCTTAGTCCACCCACCCACTTAATATGGGCAGTCTTTATGAATATCTATCTTATCTTTATTTTTGAAGAACTATCTAATACTAGATAGCTACCATAAATGTAATAGTCAAAATCTTTTCAATTTTTTCTACTTCTTGTTTCTATGAAAAAAAGGAAAAATGGAAAAATCATCCATTCTTGCCTTCTTGGGTTGAATTTATTAATTTTTTCTTTTTTGTTGTCACTTTTTTCTTTTAATATAGGGACAATTAAATCAACATAATATTTTGATATTATTATATAATATAGGATGAAGGATAGCTTCCAATGCCAGCCTTCCTCTCCTAATCACTCTCCAAGTCAATGTCAACGGTCTTCGCCCTCCACCTCCTCTCTCTTCCACCTCTCTTCTCTCACACACACTTCGTGGCTAATATATTCCACCAAGAACACAACCAAAAAGCATCCCTCTCGACACACACACTTCTCTCCTAAAACCAAAAAATGGTGGCTGCAAGTCCCGGTGGCTCAATGAAGAGCTTAACCATCCAAATCCTAACCGGAAGATGGTTCATGTTCTTTGGAAGTCTCTTAATCATGTCTACCGCTGGAGCCACTTACATGTTCGGTATCTACTCAGGCGATATCAAGAAAACCTTAGGCTACGACCAAACCACTCTTAATCTCCTCAGTTTCTTCAAAGATCTCGGAGCCAACGTTGGAGTTCTCGCGGGTCTACTCAATGAGGTGACTCCACCTTGGTTCATCCTCTTGATCGGAGGCATCCTTAACTTCTTTGGATACTTCATGATTTGGCTCGCCGTCACGGAACGGATCTCGAAACCTCAAGTTTGGCACATGTGTCTCTATATCTGCGTTGGAGCCAACTCCCAGTCGTTCGCTAATACCGGATCTCTCGTCACGTGCGTTAAGAACTTCCCGGAGTCACGTGGGGTTGTCTTGGGGATTCTCAAGGGCTATGTTGGTCTTAGTGGCGCCATTATTACACAGCTCTACCGTGCCTTTTATGGTGAAGACACAAAAGAGCTCATCTTGATGATTGGTAAGCACAATTTATTAAATTATTGATGAGCTTATATGGTTAATGACATGAAACAGAGTAAAACAGAGCAAAACAGAGCAAAAACAGAGCAAATTTTGAATTGAAACCCACTAATTGTATGAGTGATTGTATTTGTAGGTTGGTTACCTGCAATAGTCTCGTTTGCGTTTTTGAGAACGATAAGAATAATGAAAGTGAAGAGACAGACAAACGAACTAAAGGTGTTCTATAACTTCCTCTACATATCTCTCGGGCTTGCGACGTTTCTCATGGTGGTCATCATCATCAACAAACTCTCGGGCTTTACACAAAGCGAGTTTGGAGGTAGCGCCGCAGTGGTGATCGTCTTGCTTCTTTTGCCCATCATAGTCGTCATCTTGGAAGAGAAGAAGCTTTGGAGGGAGAAACAAGTCGCCTTAAACGATCCAGCACCCATCAATGTCGTAACTGAGAAACCCAAGTTAGATTCATCAGAGTTCAAAGATGATGATGAAGAGACAAAGGAGGAAGAGGAGAAGGTTAAAACAGCGTCGTGTTGGAGGACTGTGTTTGATC